AGCGGGGCAGAGGGTGCAGCAGAGGTGCATTTAGCCCTGCTGCACTTCAGAGCCCCTCGGCGCGCTGGTCCTGCGCCGGGCGGGCAGGGCTATCCTGCCCCGGGTGCACAGGGTGCCATGGGGCAGGGAGGCGCCGGGCAGGCAAAGGACCCTGGAGCACCCCCTTCCCCGAGCTCCTGCTGGGCTCAGCCCAGGAGTCCGGCGGCCAGTGCCCAGCAACAAGCATTGCCCGGCACGGCTGGACCCGGCGAGGCGCCAGGGGCAGCGCATGGGCCAGGCCCGAGGCAGGTGCTGAACAGAGCAGAGCCTGGACGTGGGGACACTCGAGCACAGACGGCCTCGGCCCCGACCCCCTCCTGTCCGGCCAGTGCCCCGGCCCCTGCCTGCTGTAGGGACGGGCGGGGTGGCAATGAAGGCCCCCCACCATCCCTCCAGGCTTGGCCCAGGCCAGCAGCCAGGTCCCCGGGCACGGCAGAGCGGTGGGGCAGGGGTTGTTATCCGGCCCTGCTCTGCTCCCTGCTGTGCTGCCCTTCGGTCCATCACACGCTCGCGATACCTCCAGGGCAATGAGCAGGCAGGGAGCTGGCTACTGGATAAACCTGATCGTGTCATGCCCGGCTCCGTGCCTCGGTTTCCCCATCTGTGAAGTGGGGCTAGAGCTTAGCTTACGTGCCCCGAGGGGGGCTCTGCCTGGCACAGTCGGGCCCCAATCCCCGACCAGGCCTGGCTGTCACGTGCCCGATCCTGACCCCGGCGTTTTCCCAGCTGGGCTGCCCCCCTCGGCCCTCCCGCGGGGGACGAGATCCCCAGAACCAGGCAGCGTCCCGGGTGGGCAGCCGCTTAGGCTTGCGGTCGTGCATCCAGGGGAGCGGAGGTGCCCCGTTCCCAGGCCCGGCCCAGGTGTCACTCGACAGGACGGTGTGAAAGTTTCCAGGGAAACCCGGCGCTGCGGGGCTGGAAAGCAAAACAGAGCGGAGAAGGGGCTGCAGGGAACGGGGCGCAGCGGCCGCTTCCACCACCCCGGGCTGCGCGGACCCCGCCACGAACGCAGGCGCGTGCACCGAGACAGGCGCGTGCACACGTGCGGGGCTTGAACTACACTTGGACTCTTGGAGGAGGCTGCAAAAAGACCTGGGCTGCCCCCCAGGATGCCCTAATGAAATCGGAGACACCCCCCCCCAGGTTATGGTTTTCAAATCTTACAGGGGGGATCTCATCTCTGACAGGCGCTCAGCCGCCCGAGCTCCCCCGTCACTCGAACCCTGCGCACGTGCCCCCAAGGCGAGCGCCGTCCCGCACAGCTGAAGGGCTTTGCACGCTCGGTCCTGCTCGTGCACAAGGTCGAGCCCGGCCGATGGAGCCCATGGCATCCCCCGCGCGGCCGGACGTGCTTCCACGCTGGGAGCACAAGCACCTGCCCTTCACACCCTCTCCTCGCTCCTACACGCTCCCAATGCACAGGTAGAGAAACTGAGGCCCGGACGGAGGAAGGCTGGATCCTGGGCCCGTGCACTGAGCTGGAGTGGGGCTTCGCTGAGTCTCTTCGGACCCCTGGCACCCCCCCTGCCCTTCCCTGCTCCCAGCCCAGCCCCCTCTCATTAGCTGCTGCCCTCCCTGGTAATTAGATCTCTGGCCCCCGGGCAGGGCTCCCCTCCCCATGCCAGGACCCCTCCCGGCCCCGGGCCCGCTGCCCCAAGGCACCCGCTCCGCGCAGCCCCTCGGCAGCCAGCCCCGGGGACCCCCACCGGGCTGGCGCTGACCCCTCCGGCCGCCCCAGCCACGTGCTGTAGCCCCCAGGCCCCGCACCATCTGGAATAAGTTATTCCTCCCGGCTGCTTATCTCCAGAGCTGCCGCTGCATATGCGCCGGGGCCGAGCCGAGCCCAGGAGGGCGGTGGGCCGGCGACACCTCCCCGGCCCCCGTGGGGAAGCTGCACTGCGGCCCCCTCCCTCCCCTCCCCGCCCAGCCGTGTGTGGCCCCCCAGGCCCCGGCAGACTCCATCTCCCAGATCCAGCCCCAACCTGGCAGGTGCCGGCCCCCTCGGGTGGGCACAGGGCTTCCCCTACGAGCCCCACGGCCGAGCTCTCCCAGAGGGGCCTGAGCCCCTGGGGTCGGGGATGTGCCCTGGACACGGCCCCATTGCTCCCGGGCCCCCGGGAAGGTGACCTCGCCAGGCTTGGGGACCCCCGGCAGCATGTCCCAGGGCGTGGGGATGTCTCTGCCCCCGCCACGTGCTAGGAGAAGGGGGTCGAGGGCTCCGCCTGCAAGGGAAGAGAGGCAGAAGGGGGTATCTTGACCCCGGGGCGAAGGAGCTTTGAGGCGCGCCGATCCAGCCTCCTCTGGGAAACCTCCGAGAGATCCCCCTGCCCAGGGCAGGCCGTGCCGCGGCTTGCACAGGACGTCCTTCCTGCGATCTAATCTCCGTCTCCGCTGCGGCCTGGAGCCGCCGCTTCCATCCGGGCCGGTCCCATCTGTCTACGGCAGCCGTCAGACACGCACAGACTGCCGCCGCGGCCCCTCTCCTCGCCTCCCCTGCGAGCTCAACAGGCCTCCTCCTCTCGGCCTCTCTTCTAGGACCAGGATCCCGTGCGCTGCCTTTGGACCCCTCCGGCTTCAGCTCCTTCTAAGACGTGCAGCCCAGAACGGCGCGCAGCTCTCGCGATGAGGCCTGAGCCGTGCCGAGCAGGGGGGCACCATCACCTCCCGTGCCCTGCACCGAACGCGCCAGGCAGGAGGCAGCCCAGAGCTGCGGCGGCTTCTGTGCAGAATTGCACTGGCAGCTCCCTCTGCAGGGCTGCGCCCCGGCTCCCCTGCTGAAATCCTCTCCTCTCCCATCCTCCTGCCCGGGCCTATCGCCCCGGGGACCTAGTGTCCCAACTCCAGCAGCAAACCCGTTGAACGGCCCCAGCCCTGCACATGCCACCAGGAAACCATGTCTAATGCAGGGTCCAGAGCCTGCCACGCCGCCCCCAGCACCCCCAGGGCAGGGGACGGGGGGACGGCTCGGGGCCGTCTGAAATCCTCTCCTCTCCCATCCTCCTGCCCGGGCCTATCGCCCCGGGGACCTAGTGTCCCAACTCCAGCAGCAAACCCGTTGAACGGCCCCAGCCCTGCACATGCCACCAGGAAACCATGTCTAATGCAGGGTCCAGAGCCTGCCACGCCGCCCCCAGCACCCCCAGGGCAGGGGACGGGGGGACGGCTCGGGGCCGTGCCCTTGGGCCCAGGGGACCCAGCTATGGAGGGCACCGCGTGGGCAGCCGGGCCAGGGGCTGGTAAGGAAATTAGCAGCCCTCGGGGCATGTGAATTGCCCCCAGCACACTTCCCAGCTCGGGGAGGCAGCAATTAAGGGGCTGAGGAGTCAGAACCGACACCTCCGCAAATGGGCCCCCGTTCCCAGGGCCTCGGCCGGGCCCTGCGGCTTCTGACACCTCGGGCAGCCCGGGGAGGGGCGGCTTCACACCTCGGCCGGCATAAAGCCCAGCCCGGGGGCTCTCCGCTCACAGCCCAGTCGCCATGGCCAGCGCTCCGGCCTCGCTCCTGGCCCCCAGCCTCTGCCTGTCGCCGGCCCCTGCCCTGCCGCAGCCCCGGGGCCGGGGCCCGG